ATCAAACTGCCCCAACTTTACTGCCCATTTCAAGATTCGTATAGAAAAATCCGCTCTCTTGAACAAGGCCTTTAATGGAAAAGCCATTAGGACGATCACGGTGTGGGCATGGAAATAGTGTGACAACTTTCTTGAGGCCATCATCAAAGCTAATGCCAGCTTTTCCAATGGTAGGTACCTTGTTTCGGCGCCCAGCAAGGTCTTGCTAACATAAAAGATAGGCAGGTGTTAGATTCCTTCCGCTCTGACCAACACTGCGCTGACTGCATACTGTGAAACTGCCAAGTACAAAAAGAGCTCTTCTCTTGGCACAGGGGTTACTAACAACGGAGGAGAGGTCATGTAGTCTATCAAGCTTTCTAGAGCGCGGTCGCATTCCTCATCCCACTCAAATTTGGCCTTCAATGCTTGGAAGAATGGTCGACATCTGTCTGACGACCGACTTATGAACCGGTAAGTGCGGCTACTAGGCCAGTGAGATGCTGTACCACTTTGATTGTGTTGGGCCTCTCAAGATCTTGGATTGCTTTGATCTGAAAGGGATCAGCTTCTATACCCCAGTTAGTCACTAGAAAACCTAGGAATTTGCCTAATCCTACGCTGAATGCGCACTTAGATGCGTTTAGATGCAACTTATGGGACTTCAAAATCTGAAACATTTCATCTAGGTCTCTAAGATGGTCCTTCTCATCCTTGCTTTAGACCACCATGTCATCTATGTAAGCCTCCATTGTTCTGCTTAACAATGGTTCAAACATTTTAGTGACCATCCGTTAGAGAATGTAGCCCCTGCATTCTTTAGGCCAAAGGGTATGACCTTGTAGTAGTACAATCCTCTGGGCGTTGTAAATGAAGTGACCTCCTGATCTAGTTCATACATAGCGATCTGATAGTAACCTCGATACGTATCAAGGAAGCTAAGTCGTTTATGCCTTGCCGTCAGGTCCACCAGTTGGTCTATTCGTGGTAGGGGAAAACTGTCTTTTGGACATGCTTTGTTGACCGTTTTGTAGTTCACACAAACGCGACACTTGTCGTTCTTCTTTGGCACTACTATAGTGTTGGAGATCCACTTGGGATAGTATACTTCTCTGATGGCTCCAGCCTCCAACAGGTTTCCTACTTCTTCTGCCACTATCTCTACGTGGTGGAGTGCCGATCGGCGCGTTCGCTGAATAATTGGCCTGGCAATTGGGTGGACATTAAGTTGATGGCAAATGATTTTTGAGTCAATGCCAAGCATGTCGTATGGTGTTCAGGCAAACACTTTGATGTTAGAGGTTAAGAATTTCATGACCTCTACTCTCTCACTGCTGAATAACGACGAGCCGAGTAAAAAGAACTTTTCTGGGTTCTTTTCATCTATCCTCACCTCAACCAAGTCTTCCACTGCTTTCTGTTATGCTGCTTTGCCGACATCTGCAAACAGTTCGTTGCTTTCTGGCTCCTCCACCATCTGAACAAACCCTTTTGCAGCACGGCTGTCGTTTACCGTAACGAAACACTATTTCGACATGATTTGGTCTCCTAAGACTTCTTCAATCACGCCGATTTCGTTAGGGAACCGTAATGCCTGATGGTAGGTTGACGCCACTAAGCGCATGGCGTGCAACCATACTCTTCCCAAGATTATGTTATAAGTGGAAGAGACCTTCAATACCCAAAATTTCACCTGCTTTGTCATTGTTCCGGCCTTGACTGGTAGGATTATCTTGCCCACTGGCCATTCTGGTATTGAGTTGAAACCGACGAGGGAAAATGTCGCAGGTGCCAAGTCCCTGTTCTCCAATTTCGACTGTTTGAAGGTCTCATAGTACATTATCTCGCATGAGCTTCCTTGGTCAATCAGAATCCGTTTGATGTCGAAATTCTTGACGCACAAAGTGACCACCAGTGCGTCATTGTGAGGGCAATGTAGCCTTGCTAGATCCCTGTCTAAAAAGGATATGACATTCGTAGTGTCCGTTCTGCCTTTTTTTACGGCAGGTTATGCACTTAATACCTCTCTCAAGTGCTCAGCCTTTTTGATCATCCCTCTAAGTTGACATACCCGCTCAGGTTCTATGATCCCATGTATAACATTGATTATACCTTGGGGTGGACCGTTGACCGGCATCCCGCTTGGTTTGTTGATGTCCTGGAGGGCTGGCTGTGTTCCCCCTTCTATATACTAGTCTAGGTGTCCATCGGCCACTAACTCTTCCAGATATTGCCTCAATAGTGTGCAATTTTTAGTACGGTGCCCCTTCTCATCATGGAAGATGCAACGGCACCTCTCATCATAGTCCCTTTGTGCTTCTCCCAACTTGGCTACCCGCCGAATGAAGGGTTCATTGCATATCTCGCTAAGAATCCGGTAGATAGGTTTATTGAATACTGTGATAATGGAAGTGTGGACTCTTAACTTCCTTGTTTGGGGGTCCTCTCTGTTGACTCGCCTGCCTCGCCCATTCTTGCTTGGTTGTTCTACTGTGTTGATTTTTGCTACAGTCTTTTTATCTAGCATCGCTGTTGTGCCAAATTTTGCTTCTGTTGGCTCGCCTGCCTCGCCCATTCTTGCTTGGTTGTTCTACTGTGTTGATTTTTGCTGCAATCTTTTTATCTAGCATCGCTGTTGTGCCAGATTTTGCTTTAGCACGGGCGCTATCTTCCTCTACTCGGATATGTTGATGCACTCTCTCTATTAGGGCCTCCATCGTGAGGGGTGACGTCATTGTCATTGAGTCCCTTAACTTATTACCAACTGATAAACCCCGTTTATATTGTGCGATGGCGAGATTTGTAGGGCAATCCCCAATCTGGTTGAAAATCCCCCAATATTGACTGTTGTAAGATCTCAATGTCTCATTTTCGCCCATGTCAATGGAGAGTAGCTGGTCAATCTCCACTGGCGTCTTGGTATTTGTTCTGAATCTAGTCACAAATGCTTCTGCCAACTGTGCCCATGAGGCTATGTTGCTTTCTGGCAGCCTTTTGAACCAGGTTAGACCTAGGTCGCCAAGGTTGGATGGAAACAGGATACACATTAGAGCCTCGTTTCGCCGGTATACAGTCATTAACTAGCGAAAGTGGCTAAAGTGCATGTAAGGGACATCCCTTCATAAGTGGTGAATTTGGGTTGGTGGAAGCCCAAGGGTAGCGGTGCGTTCTCAATTGTCAGAACGAACGGCGAACTCTATAACATTGCTAATACTTTATCTACTGGTTCGTAAACAAGGCGCGGTATTGGCATCCCCACCTCGACACTCCCATGTGTCCTAGGGGCCAATCGTTGTAGGGCTGAAACTCTGTGAGGGTCGCGAGCCCTGGTGTCCTCCTTCCATCAGGCCCTCTCCTCGAGCACTGTTCGCAGGTTCGCTGACATAGGTAACTCCGTGTGCCTAGATGTCGTTTGGTGCGTGTGCGAGGGCCGATAACTACTTCCCTCTGTACACGACCTTTTAGTCCTCGTTCTCTCAAACCTGAAGTAATGAGTCCTCGAAGTCCTTGATTAAGTGTCGCCTGTTCTAAGGCTCCTACTTTCTGCTTGTGATGGCGTGACATGTCTGTCACGATCTTTCGAGTGGTAAGAGGGTGTGTTGTCTTTTCGGCCCTCTTCCATCGCCATCCATTTTTCCTTTATCTGACGCTTTATTGTCTCCATGTCTGCCGCCATCTTCCCTATTAACTCGTCTTGCTCTCTCACGCGATCCTCCAGAACTTGAGGATCCAACCTCCGCCTCTGTCTTTCAGGACTTTGAAAGGGACGGGGACTGGTGCCCTGTCTCTCCCGTGTGTCCCTCTGGGAGTTCCGTTGCTGGGGTTCTAATTCTGCCATGGGTGGGATAAAAGGTAAACTTTCATGCCTCCCGCCCCCCTCCGGTGTTTGCCCATCAATAGCAGATTGCGGCAAATCTTCATTGTGTGCTATTGATTTCAACTAGAGAGGAAAACTTGATTAAAAGGTTTTGTTCTTTGTGCCTTTCCCACAAACAGCGCCAATTGTACGAACGCGAAATAATCTTATCGTATAATCCTGTTAATCAAGTTTGCACTTCTCCAAACGTCGTCGCTTTGCCACCTAAAAATACAAACGTGAGCTAGTAAGCGGATGTGTCCCGGAAACCTCTCCAGTCAGCAGATAGACCATAGACACAAAAGCTCTGTGTTTTTTAGAGTAAAGATTGCAATACTTGTACATAGGTCCTATCATGAGCTTTTATAAATTCCACCCAACACAATCCTAATAGGACTTCAACTCTCTTTAGTAGAGTCCTCCTAAGAATCATAAAGATAATGCCTATCTTTTTACACCCTTCTCACTGCTTAACCAAGTGAGATGGTCCTACCACAGTCTGGTAGCAAAACAACCGAGCTAACACCACCACGCTTTACGATAGATTTCACCGAGCTCACCTAGCTCGACTCTGCCTTGTCCTCTTACAGCTCAGCTCTCTCCTCTCTATACCTCGTTTCGGAACACTAAGGCCATTCTACTGGAAAACAGCTTTGACCAAATTGACGGGATAAAGGACCGAGCTGAGCAAGCCATCACCACGGCCCATAGCTCGGTCCATTTCCCATCTGGTCCCAGCTCCACCCACGTTCAAACATAAATTACCCTCTCAATACATATATATATTCTTAACACACACCTTAACACACCCTTTAACACATCTATTGCACCACCACTCACTCTCTAAAATTAACACATCTTAACACAGATTTTTGGGCCCCACTTTTATTACTTTTTGTCATATAATACACCTTAACACACATTTTTAGCCATTCAATTGTGGATACTCTTATCGGCTTAAGCTTGCAAGCAGGTATGAATTCCAATAATGTCTGTTGGGCCCTAGTGTTAAGCTTGTGGACTATGAAGTTTCTACAAAAAAAGATTGGGCCGGTGATTGCTGTGTTGGTAGGCTCCTTGATTCCCAGCAAGTGAGCTCAATTTAACAGAGGAAAATAAATGTATGGAATGGAACAATGTCCAATCCGCACTTCGAAAAGGGACGTGGTAAAAAATTACAAGGTAATATTTCAACATCTAAAAGAGTAGTCTGAATTGTCTCAACAAATTATCCTGAAATATTTTGCCATCTCCACTTAATCTTCATATGCCCTGCTGATTACAACAAAAACGACTAACATTAAAATGCAAATTCTTACATTTTTGGTCGAACAAATTGTTATATACAAGTACAGTACTAAAATGGAAGCAAAAATAATAACCCTCCAATTGACAAAGTACTGGCCATTTTTGTACTCCACAGGAAGATTTAACTATTCTGATGCATATTTACACCGTATGAAGTAAAAAGGCAAAACTATACAGAAATTAAGGCCCAAAAAATTGTTGTCCGATTTTCTTCACCTATCTAAAAAATGCATGCCCATATCTTGAGTGTTGCAGGCTTGGAAAAGAGAGCCATTTGAAGGGACCATAATCTGCAAATAGTTGTAAGTAGAACCAAAGATTGAAGATTGAGAAATATAATTGCACAAAAGCAAATGACAGAAAGCATTAACATCGACAGCAGTCATACCAGTCAACCCAATGGATCGATTATCAAAATATCAACAGAGTACATGCCGATACAGGTTTAAAGTTGACTGAAAAGGCTTTGCGAAGGCTAGGGATGTGCGTAAGGGTTGGAATGTGGTCCAAAGTGAATCAAAAGGCCTTCCCTGCACTGAAATATAAATAAATTTTGGAACCAAAGAATTATGGTTACATTATTTTTGAATCTTAAAGACCTCTCCATCAAATTCAATAAATACATGTTCATAAAGTTCTTCAAATTTATAGACCATGCAGTGGCTAGAGCAAACCTGAGAAACAATGCTTCAAAGTAACTGGCCTAGTTCCAAATCGCTGGATTTCTAAATTGTGTCTCTATCGCCTCTAATAGAAACTTAACAAGGTTTTCTGTGTCAACTTCCCTCTCCTTCTTCAGCTCAAGATGACGAACCTGCACAAAGAAACAATCAATTTTGTAATATATCTGCACAGGATCAGCTCTGAAGCACACAGGGAAATTGAACTGGAAAAGGCAAAGCAACGAAGACCAGTATTTGCTTCCAAGTGAATCCAATTTGGAAGTGGGTTTGTGGAAGCTTTTATCAGGGCTTTAAAACTTCCCTATTAAGGGTGCATCTAAAAGATTGAGTAGCAAAACCAGGATTAATTGCAGAATCTTAATAAGCTTGAAATATGGATGAAGATCTCCAGCACCTCTTTTTCTCGTCTCATATTTCAAAGCCTCACCGGCCTTGGATGCAAGAAGTTAATTGGCTTGTTGGCAAATGAAGTGGGAAGAATTTTAGTAACAGTGCTACAAAAATTGCTTGGGAAGCCATTATTTATTACTTATGGAAAGCATGAAACAATAAGACTTTTTGTAGGCTCCAAAGAACTCCAAGTTTGTTGCTTGATCAAATTAGGAATGATATGTGTTAAAACTTCTCAATTCAGATCTATAAATCCTACAAATGCTAATGTTTTTCCATTTGAAATAGTTGCTCTATCTATGCTTTCATGTTTTAGTAATGTTTAGGGTCATAGATTTATTGTGTTCGGTATTTTTTCCATGTATCAGGGTATGTCTTGTAATTTTATTTTTTTTCCCTTCATAAAATTTCTCACCATTTAGAAAAATAAATAAATAAACTTTTTAAAGCTTGTTCATCACTTCTGATGTGTGACTTTGGAGTTTACTCCCTAAAAACATAATATTTCAAAATAACAAAGTAATGCCATGAATATAACATGGCTCCAGTTAATGTTGAATGAACGAAAAGTATTCTTGCAGCCACCCAACAAACCAAACTGATAAAGGTTTGTTGTATGATATGCAATATATATATTTTTTTTTCTTTTCTAATCAATATAGTTTTCCTTCAATTTTTATGATTTTATTATTTAGGAAAGCTCAAAAACTTGTAATGTGCGAACCAAAACCCACTGAAGGATGAAATGCTACATGCTCATCTCTCATTTCATTTTCAATGACAGTGTTACAATTTTATTTTATTTTTATAATTTTAAGCACGAACGGTAGATTGTTCTTAAAATTAAAATTAGTAACGAGAATAAGAGGATGTATTCTGTATTCATTTCCTCCTCTGAATTCTTTATATCAAGGTGGATCTCCTTTGGCATGATATAAATCAGTTGGAATAAGCCAGAAAAAAGAAAAAGACAGCGTCATAAAGTAGAATTATTGAACTTTAAGTAATAAACAATGAAGTACACGGAGTTTGAAACACAATAGATAAAGATGATATTGGCATTTCCGTTCGAAACTCATAGGCACCCTGTTAGTATCATCTTAGTAAAGTTAAATAGACAATGCATTAATAACATATATCGTTTAAAAAGCAACACAAATGAACTTAGATTAGTAGTACTACCTTGACTGAACCTTTCTGAGAGACACCGGTGTCTGTTATGATGACAAGACATTTAATATCATGCTCATTTGCATATTCGTACTGTTCTGTTAGGCTTGGATCAGGCATGGGGACAAACTCAGCCTGATAGAAATATTCACTTAGCATGTAAGAAATTCACATTGTGACTCATTCGAAGATTGCAGAACAAGATAGTTAGAAATTCAACCACCAACCTTGATATTCTCCCCCCACAGCTCAGCAACTAGTTCCATGCGCTCTTTCAGTAAACCACCACCTCCCCTAGAACAAATTAGTACACTAATGCTGACATCATATCTGCACTAGTCAGTACACTAACATCAGGGAAATTGCTTATAAGGAAATATTATGGCCATAGAATTTTCAGCGTCATGAAAAAAAAATAATGCAAAATATGCAAATAAGTTTGCACCTAAAAGGTCTGATATCTACAGAAGAATGCTGAATTATTGTCTCTAGAGCAATGCTAACCCCTACTGCACCGGGAAGATTTGAATTCTGGTAACAGCAAAGCAGAAATAGTCATCAGAAACATGGTAATGTCAGCGAAAAAGATAATGCCGAAATTCATAATGAATGCTGCAAATGATAGGAGTTCACGGATTTTTTTTATTATATAAAATACAAACCAGAACATATTGGTTTCATATAATAGTTATTAAATTCAAACAGACACAGAAGGAAAGTACCAGTAACCCCTGAAAATTATTCTTCAATCAGGACAACCCAAAAAAGAAATGTTCCATAAAACACAAGAAAAAATACAGAAAAGAAAAGTACTTTGTTTTAAGGACCTATATAGTCATCTGTTAAGCCATTGTAAGTATCAATTGGAGAAAACAAATTTCTGGACAATTAGAGTAAGCATTCTTCCTTTGTCAAAAACAAAAGAAGGTCCTGCATTCGAATATAAGCATCATGCCTCCTAGGAATAATTTTATTCATTCAAATATTGGCATCATGTATTCAAATAACAAACATGAAATGCCCATTGGAATGTAGCATCGGCTGCAGTTACAACCTCAGCTGCTGAAGTAGAGCCTCAGTGGTTGCAAAAAAGTAACATAATTAAATTCACGTGTTGATAATGAAGTAGAACCCAGTAGGAAAAGAGAGAGAAAACACACAAAGTGGCCACACAGCCTAATTCTTACCGTATCATTAAAACCAAATCCAAATAATAAATGGCAAACCCAATATTTATAGGCCAAAAAACCTAACTAAAATATGAAACTAACCTTAATATTATTTGGAAACATAATAAAAAATATCCTAACTAATAATTATTTAAATCCTAACTAAAAAATAATAATAATAACAAGACATGGGTTTTACCCTGTGAAGCGAAGTCCCACATCGCCTGAGTAGTAAAGTAATAGTAAGCATATAAGTCTGAGGGCATCCTCACCTTAACAACTAACTTTTGGGGTGAGTTCTACCCAAGACCACATAACATGGAAACAGGGTGTGTGTTCCTCGCTTGCATGCCGCAGGTGTTGCCCAGTGAGCATGCTGCCTGAGTACTAAAGTGTTAAAACCTACCATCACCTACTCCACCTACTACACCTACCACCACCTACTACCACCTATTACACACCTACCACTACCACCTACTACCACCTACTCCACTACATCTCCTATATAAGGAGCCCCTCGCCATTTGTAATTAACAATCAATCAATCAATAAAACATTAATTTTTACATAAAGTAACATTAAGCATATAAGAATGAGGGCACCCTCACCTTGACAGCTAGCTTTTGGGGTGAGTTCTACTCAAAAATATGTGACACACCCTAGGCTTCCAAAGCGTGTAATGGGTCTCCAACCAATTAAAGGTTGCACCATCGATTCTCCTCAGCTGAAAGAACTTGACTCTGTTGAGTTAGGAGCATGTCCAAGAATCCCATCTGATGGAGAAACACGCTGAATCAACAATGAATCCTTTTTCAATTTAAAGGCTTTCGAATCGGTGTTACGAGTAAGAGCATATTTCGTCGAGCTAATAAAAGAATAAAGGGTTAATTACACTTTTAACCCCATAACTTTCACACGTATTCTACTTTAGTCCTAAACTTTCAATTGCAACAAGTTAACCCTCAAACTTTGGGGTGAGTGTCAAGTTACATTTTTTTATAAAAGTCCTCACAAGCTCTTCATGTGAGGTTCTCTGAGGGTCATTCTTTGGAAAATAAAATCTTTCTGCCACCAAATTTTGTGGACTAAGGTATTGAGGGTGAAAACATGAAAGGAATACAAGGAAAAGTAAAACAAAAAGAGAGAACGAGAATCAAAAAGAGGTCCATCAGTGATGGAAGACATGTTGCGACTGTTGGACTCTCTCTCTCTCTCTCTCTCTCTCTCTCTCTCTCTCTCTCTCTCTCACATTTTTCATCTTGAAAACAATGATTTTGTGTTGGGTTTTCAATTGGTTGTGACAATTATGATGATTTGGAGCAAACTTTCCCATATTTGTAAATTTCGATGGTACCTCTTGAGATTGGCCATGAGAATTACATACGTGTGTGTACCTATTTTATGTACTTGTTATAATTCTACTTTCTAGATATTGGGTCTTGCTAACAACTGTCCCTAAGGAAAACGAAAATACAAAAAACATAAAGAATAATACACTTCTTATTGAAATCTAAACACTTTCATTGAATTCAAAATATTTTTAACTTCTTCACCTATTTTACAAGATACTTTTCACCTCAATCCCGACCCTAAACATTGCCCAATAGGCACTAGTCATCAATTGTCCTAGATTTTATGGTTATTTTTAAAATTCACCACAAAGCACAAATATTGGGCGTTCTTTGATTACTTACATTCAATGTTTATTTACAATTCTTTTTTGTGTATCTATTTTTAATCTTTTGGTGATTTTTTTACGGGAAGATGTGTAGAATAGGAGCTAGTCTCAAGCTGAAGCCCCACCGTCGAAGGCAAAGGTGGGTTAATAAGGCATATAAAAAATCCCATATTGGCAAAGAATGGAAGAAGACATTTGTTGGGTTCTCCCATGCAAAGGGCTTCTTGAGAAATGTGAACCACGAAATGAAATGAGAGAAGCCATTGTTCTTGAGAGATTCCCTTTAGAGCATGTGAGGGACTTCTGCCAAAAATATAACAACTTGAGGGGAAGGCTACATTCACACTTGGCACAAAGTCTGAGGATTAAATTGTTGCAATTAAAAGTTTAAGAATTAAAGTGGAATCCAGTTGAAAGTTTAGGGGTAAAAGTTTAATTAACCCAAGAATAAGTGTTGGCACATCCAACTTGTCTGACATTAGGATCCAAAATCCATGTATGGAGCTTAAAGGGAAGAACATCACACATTACTGGTTCTTTGAGCTTGCCAATATTGAATGTCACATCATGCATTTGTTGTCGACCTTAAGTTTGGTATTGGTGATCCATACCACGTGATAAGGGTCAACAAGTGGTTCAACTTTCAACATTAGTGCAACTCGCATTATCAATCACTAAAAAGCACACTTGTTCACCGCAATTCACCCTCATATGAAGAATATTATCTTTGTAGCTTTTCGGGTGCCTGTATGCCTTGTTCATTAAAAGCCCAATCAAACCATTAAAGAGATCATCATCGGACTCAGGTTCAACATGATCAACAACTTACCTCCGTAGTGCTTTCTTTCTCAACCACATCAACTGACTTAATAGTCACATTATTTTTGGTGAGAAGCAGTACTGAGAAAGACGTGTAAAATATTGACAATTAAAAACACTGGGTCTAGTATTACTCTGTATGAAGATTGAGAATGACTACAAATAGTACAAGGTGACATGTCAAGAAGTATGCCACTATTGGGATCCACAATCTTTTCACTATGTGTAAATGTGTCCTTTGGAGTGTGCACATGGGTCTTTTTCTTTATTTCTTCCTCCATTTGAAGAAGGACTAGCACCACATCTACCACAAGGTGGAGCTACACCCGCTGTTCTACATCAATTTTGGTATCAAAGTCTAATTTTGACCCACTGTTTTGTTCAATTGGATGATTACCTTCTTAATATGCCCACACCGATGCAAACCATCTTCACCATTAACGATATCATCACATTGCTTTCTTTGACATCACTGCCTTTCATCGCCAGTCCATCATCGCTACAACTTCACCCATCATCACTTTGTAGCATCATTATCAACGATAACTCATCCCTCTCTCAATCGAGTCACAACCGTCCTCTTGCAGCACCACTGGAGGCACCAAACATCTCTGTCACATTGCAACACATCTTGAAAAAAAGAAGCAAAACAGTGACATAGCCAAAATGTTCACACCTTTGTCAGTGTTGATCGTTTTGCTTGCCATCTAGTTGTACCCTCTTCATCAGTGTATGTTGACAATGTTCCCTTGTGTTTACTCTCATTGCTTGAGCCAAGGGCTTCTGTCATTGTGTCCAGCAGTAAGGACAACAATAAGGCCGTGCATCAAAAAGAAAAAAAAATGGTTATATTAACCCCAGACTTAACCCAGTTTCCTAACCAACATACCTAAACCATAACCCATCAACTTAGGCCAGTCCAGCCCACTAAAATATCCAGAGTCCGGTTACCTCACAACCTGTCCCAAAAATCTAAGCCAGAACCCATTAAGCCCCACTCAAATAGAATATTAAGTTTTTTTTTTTTTTTTTTTTTTAATTGGCACCGGGGTGTCTAGATCAAAGCCCCGACTAATCACAGGCCCTCGGTAAGGAGTTTCTTGCAAGTACACCATGGTTAATTAGGCCCCAAGGAATTGTTAGCACCTATGAGGTTTCAATCCCCAAACCTTGGAGGAAACACACCCCCGAGACCAAAGGTCTTGCTACCAGGCCAACCCCTTGGTGTTAGAATATAAAGTTTTCAATCAGTTAGAACTAACGTTCAACTTCAATCAAACTCAAACCTCCACAGACCAAATAGGAATATAGTTAAACCAAATAATTCAGCAGATAATTTGAACACATTCGGTAACCAAGTCTAATCCAGCAACACTTAAGCACAAGCAGTACCAAACCAGCCCAATTTGCGAACCATCCAAAAAGAAAAAAGACACAGTTTGAATTCTATTTATTCCCTTTGTTTTATATTTATTATCATCATCATGACCTATTCGGAGTTAATTCAGAGTTTGCAATCTTTTCTCAATAACAAAAAAAAAACACACACACACACACACAAAAATATCAGGATTAAGTACTAGAACAGATGATTCAGATCAAAGCAACTTTGAACAAATTGTTAGCTTATGTTTTAGGAGATGCTTCAAAAATTCCTCAAAGAGATTATGAAGATCAAGTGAAAATTGTTGATCAAACAGTTTCGAAGTGTAAGGAAAGTGATATAATTTTGCAAAAAAACAAAAATAAAATAAAATTATAAGTTCAAGAAGCTGTTTAAGGCAAGCAAATCCTCCACACAACGTGGTTCCTACTAACAAGACATCCATCAGCTGACTTTTTGATCGAGTTAGGCAAGATTGATTTATTGGTATTGAAAATTTCATTCACGTATTCAATGTCACAATATCTAAGAGAGAAAGAAATTTGTATTATACTGAATGTTGTGTTGAATAATTATGTAACAATATATACAAGGCTCTTTTATATAGAAGGAGAGAAACCTAAGTACAGAATCCTAAATATGGTAATGAATATAGTATGATATGTATAATAGACAGAATATATAGTTACTATATTTAACACACCCCCTCAAACTCAAGTAGGGATACAAAAAAAAAAAAAAAAAAAAAACCTCAAGTAGGGATAACAACTTGAATTTGGAGAGAGAAATTAAAACATGGAATGAAATTAAAATAAAACAAAATAAAAGCCAAATAGATTGCAAAGTCCGAATGGGAGCGCAAAGACACTTGAGATAGATCAGAGGTCGGAGCAAATGCCAAAAGACCATTTATGGTCATGTTGGACCATTGTTAGAACTAGTCGGAATTAATGCCAGGACAACTTAAGGTCATGCCAGACCGTTGTAAGAACTGACCGGAATCAATGTCGAGACAGTTCACGGGTTCATGCCAGACCGTTGTAGAGATTGGATGTTAAACCAACAAGCGTGGCACACACAGAACTTATGACGTGGTGTTGAATGATGATGGCAACAGATAACTAAGTGCGTCAGGGGGCGACTTATTAGAAGGTGTGCCAAGGGACGATTTAGATGGTGCGCCAGAGGGGGCGGCTTGGATTGTGCATCAGAGGGGGTAGCTTAGGCGGTACGCCAAGGGGTGACTTGGATGGTGCGCTAGAGGGGGCGACTTGGGTTGTGCGCCAGACGGGGCGGGTTTGGTGGTTTACATGTTATATCACCGTGCTCACCATGATATAAGTATTATAAACCCCCCAAAACTCAAATAGGTTTGAAGATAGAAATCTATTTGAAGTTGAAACAGAGGGAAAGATAAAGTGGAGCAGAAACACAAAATATATATATATATATATTACGAGTAAAAAACAAATATGATAAAGATATCTAGGATAGGAATAAACTAGCGGACAAAGGAAAAGATCACTACGAAATGATACTGATAGAAAAATATGGCAATGGAAGGGGTTAAGGTCCGGTGGGTTGCTAAGCCAAGGTTGTCGCCCGCCGATAAGGCGAAGAACACCAAGAGCTTAACCTATAGCTCTGATACCATGTTACAATATCTAAGAGAGAAAGAAATTTGTATTATATTGAATGTTGTGTTGAATAATTATGTAACAATATATAAAAGATTCCTTTATATAGAAGGAGAGAAACCTAAGTATGGTAATCCTAAATATGATAATGAATATAATATGATATGTATAATAAACAGAATATATAGTTACTATATTTAACATTCAATTCATGTTTGGTGAACCTCGTCAATTACCTAACCATAGAGATTAGCTAGAAAGAGAAGAAGATCAAGCAACTAGAATTTTCGATGTATTTGATTCATTGGCATGGATGAGTTCTTTTTCTTAGTCACGGAGAATGAAGAGAAATATGTATGCACTAATTTTGGCATGGAGATTTTAATAACAATTTTATAAATTTATGAGTAATGTACATACAGAAATTTTGTATAAAAAATCCATATAGAATGACATGGCAGATTTGTATCCATTCATTTCAAATCAAAAAGCCCATTAAAGTGATTTACTATTTCCAAAATGCCACTATCACATCATTCTTGTGGGAATTTTTGTCTGAATTTTTTGTTTCACTTTCCTCATTTATATCTTGAGTATTTAGTATTTTATTTATTTTAGTATTTCATTTTTAATTATAGTTTAATTAGGAGTGTATCATATTTGGTTTCTTATTTCATTAGGGACTCTAGTTTCTTTTTTAGGATTTACTGTTATATATTATTTAGGGTTCATGTTCTATAAATATTAAGATTTTTCATTGTATTATTCAGATTTTAGATTAACAAAGCCTTGTGATTAGGGTTGTGGCCCTTGTGTTTTTTCTCCTTTCACTTTCTTCCTTCTCCCTCTCCATGAAAGAGGGAGCAAAAGAGAGAGGGGATCAGAACTTGAGCTTTGATACCAAATTGATGTAGACCATAGTAGGAAAAGAGAAAGAAAAACACACAGTGGCCACAACCTAATTCTCACAATATTATCACAACCATATCTGAATAATAGGTAGCAAAACCCAACATATTTAGGCCAAAAAATCATAATTAAATAGGAAACTAACCTTAATATTAATTGGAAATGTAATAAAAAAATCTCCTAACTAGTAATCATTTAACTAAATAATAATATGCCAATTAAATTAATTGGACCAAAATGTCTTCAGTCCGCTCAATGAACCCATGGGCTTCCAAAGCAAGAAATGGACCTTCAGTTAATTAAGGGTTGTGCCATCAGATAGTGCTATGAGTTTGTACATCTACAAAAATATCACCATAAATGAACAACAGAAATTAAAGAATACACGTGCACGAAGGTTGTGTCTCTGCAACCAAGCTATGAAATTTAACTTACATAGTCACAAGCCGACATTTGATGAAGCAGATAGTCATACCGACCACCAACAGCAAGCAATGTTCCTTCCATGAGTGAGGCAGGATTGTTCTCCTTCCTTAAATATATCTGCAGCAAGAAAAAATCATCTTGATCATGAACCATTTTTAACAATTTCATTTTTATTTTGATAAATATCCGTTATGAAAATCTTATTTGATGAAAAAAGGGAAATTATTTAGCAATTTACAGGTTGTGATGTAGGATATCAAGTGCATAGGATGTGATAGTTAGTGGAGGGAAATTGTAGCCTATATCTAGAAGAGGCATTACCACTTTGTAACCAACTTTTAGATATTGAACATTGATTGATTGAGATATTTCTCTCTGTAAATTCTCTATGATGTTCTTGATTGGGCCCATCATCATTTGGTATCAGAGCTTCAACAATTAGGTCCTATTATTTGAATTATCACAGATCATCACCTTTTAAAGAAAAGAAAAAGAAACTGACCTGATCATAGATTTCCTTCATGAGTCAACATCTGGAGTCTTCAATGGAGATCGACAATTTTGAAGCCCTAATCGAAGACCTCAGTGGATATCGACAGTTTCGAAACCCTAAAATGTCAATTTTGGATGCAATTTCGAAGCATTAGAAGCCATTTTGGTTCATAATCTCATTCGAAGCAAACTCAAGCTCTAAGGTTGAAGATCTATCGCGATTTGAAGACCATTGCGAGTTCGAAGTTCATGTGACAATTGTGATTGCGATTTAAATCCTGATTCGAGTTCGCAGGATGAATCTTTGTCTGAGTATTGACCTACGACTAGGAGTTCTTCATTGTTTGAGTCCGATTGATTGACTTGTCAATTTTGGTGAGAATCAAACGTATGAAGTAATGAGACCATCACTCCCTTATATATTAATAATACGAAATGTACAATAAAACCTCAAGGCACAAATAAGGAAACTACAACTAATGACAGCTAAACAGAATAATCAAACACAATAACAAAGATATTATTCTAACACTCCCCCTCAAGCTGCTGTAAAGATATCTCTCAGCTCAGCTTGCTAAGAATATCATGGAATGGTTTACTCGCAACTCCCTCAGTGAGAATATTTGCCAGCTATTCTCCAGACTTCAGAAGAGGAGTACATATAGTGTCACTAGTGAGTTTCTAGTGAGTTTCTCCTTGATGAAGTGACAATCAATCTCAACATGTTTTGTCAGATCATGTTGAACTGGATTGTGAGTTATGTTGATAGCAGCCTAATTGTCATAATATAGCCGCATGGAGTCTGTCTGATCAATTCCCAGATCACTCAATAGTAACTTGATCCACAATAGTTCACACACACCTTGTGCCATGGCTCTAAACTCCCTCTACACTAGATCTGACTACCATATTCTGTTTTTTACTTCTCCAAGTAACTAAATTTCCCCCAACAAAGGTACAATACCCCAACATGTACCTTTTATCAGTTATTAATCTTGCCCAATCAACATCTATATAAGCTTCTGTATTAAGATGATCATGTTTAGAGAAATTGAGACGCTTTCTAGGTGAAGATTTTAAGTATCTAAGAATCTGCATAACTATAACCAGGTGTATCTCATGAGCAACATGCATGAACTGATTAGCCACACTAACCGCAACAACAATGTTATGACGTGAATGGGATAGGTAAGTGAGCTTACCCACTAGTCTCTAATAACTCCCCCTAGTCAACAAGAGCTTCTCCACTATCATCACTAAGTTTATGGTTTGGCTCTAGCAGTGTGTCACAAGATTTGCTTCCAAGTATCTCAGTTTCCTTTAACAAATCAAGCACATATTTCCTTTGACAGATGAAGATCCCATCCTTAGACCAGGCAACCTCAATCCCTAGGGAATACTTTAAGCTCCCCAAGCCTTTGATTTCAAACTCGCTTGCCAAATACTCCTTCAACTGAGGAATTTCTTCAACATCATCTCCTGTAAGTACTATGTCATCTACATATACAATAAGAGTTGTAGTCTTACCATGTAAGGAATGTTTAACAAACAAAGTGTGATCAGCTTGGCTTTGTTTGCATCTATATCTAAGCATTGTTTGAGTAAGCCTCTCAAACCAAGTCCTTGGGGATTGTTTGAGATCATACAATGATTCCAGAAGGCTGCACACCTTACCTTTTGTTTTAAGGTCTTCAAAGCCAGGAGGAATGTCCATATACACCTCTTCTTCTAGATCACCATGTAGGAAAACATTCTTCACATCAAATTGGTAAAGTAGCCAATCCAGATTAGCAGCAAAAGAGAAAAGTACCCTGACTAAATTCATCTTAGCAACTGGCACAAATGTCTCTTGATAGTCTATTGCATAAGTCTTAAGTAAATCCCTTTGCCACAAGTAAAGCCTTGTAATGCTTAATTGAACCATTCACTTTGTGCTTCACAGTATACACCCAATTACATCCCACATGTCGTTTGCCCTTAGATAACTCAACCAATGCCCAAGTGCCATTCTTACAAAGTGCTCTCATCTCTTCTATCATGACATGTTTCCACTCAGGAGTAACAAGGGCTTCTTGAAAATTATTGGGTATACTAACAGAAGAAACTTTGGATGCAAAGCGACTATAAAAGTTGCTAATTAGAGTAGAAGACAAAGTCAAAGACAGGATGTTAGTATAAGACCTCACACCCTTCCGTTTAGCAATAGGAATATCAAGATCAGAATACTCAGAAAGAACAAGGGTTTCAAAGTTACATGGACACTCATCAAGAGGAGATAACAGTGGAGGACTAGAAGTGGTTTCTTGTATCCAGGAATATCCAAGAGTATCTAGGATTAGAATTGGATTCTGTATTTTCAACAATAACTGGTTCACATTCTACGTTCTCAACCACAGGTAATGATCCAAGAACTGATAAAGATCCAGGAATCTCTTCACACCAAGGCTCTCTCTGAAGGGATGACTGGGACATTGGTGAGTACAAGAAATAGGATTGGGACTCAAAGAAGGTAATATCTATAGACACAAACTACTTACGAAATGGAGGATGATAACATTTATAGCCTTTTGAGTAAGCAGTAACCCAGAACGACACATTTAATACAACGAGGATCCAATTTACCACGAGTAGGAGAATGATTATGGACAAAGCAAACACCCAAAAAATTTACGAGGAATGGAAAACACAGGCTTGGATCCTCAGAACACCTAAAGGGGAGCTTGTTTGTGCAACACTTGGGTAGGAAAGCGATTGATGAGATAAGCAGCAGTGAAAACTACTTCTCCCCAATACGACTGAGGCACCTGCACAGAAAAGATCATGCAATGAGCCATATCAAGAAGATGGTGATTCTTGCGCTCCGTAACCCCATTTTGCTGAGGGGCGTTGGTGCAAGAAGTCTGATGAATAATACCGTGGGTGGAGAAATAGCTCGCTTAACCAGAATCAATGTACTCACCCCCATTATCAAATCACAATCACTGTGTTTGGTTTGAGTTTTCTAGATTAAGTTTTTTAAAAACTGATTTTTTTTATTTTCGTGTTTTTTTGTTTTTAGTGAATATTTTTAAAACTTTAAACATTTTTTTTATTTTTTTAGATGCACCTTACTTAGATGTGTCTAAAAAGTAAAAAAATGTGAAAAAATATTTTAAAAAATTAAGAAATACATAAAAATACAAAAAATGTACTAAATTCTTGTACTTTTTTTTGTATTTTTGATATTTAGTGAATTTTTAAAAGATTTTTTTTACAATTTTTTTACTTTTTAGGTGTATTTATGTTAGGTGTGTCTAAAAAGTAAAAAAATTGCATAAAATATTTTAAAAAATTCAGTAAAAACAAAAAAACACGGAAAATAAGAGTGTAAAATTTTCTGAAAACTGTTTTTAAAAAATGGGAACCAAGCACTGTGAATATTTTTAACACTGCACCAAACTGAGTACAGATCATAAGGTGGAAATTGTGAAACACAAAAAAAAACTTCACTTTTGTTTTTCATAAGATACACCCAAGTAGTACGAGAAAAATCATTTATAAAGTGACAAACCATCCATGACCTTTCAAAGGCATAACACGAGATGGGCCCCAAACATCAGAATAAACTAACGAAAAAGGTACCAAACTTTTATTAAAACTTGGAACAAAAGAAGTTCTGTGTTGTTTACCAAGTTAACAAGACTCACAATTAAACTTAAAGACATTATTGTTTGTAAAAACAGAAGGAAACAAATGCTTAAGTAATAAAAAGATGGATGTTCAAGACGCCAATGCCACAACCACAAGTTTTCCTTGGTGGTTGGAAACTTGATGGAATGATGTGCCACTTTGTCTGCCTGATCTAGGATATAGAGACCATGTTTCACACTACCACTGCCAATCGTCCTCTTCGTGATAAGGTCTTGAAAAAGACAATGATCAGGGAAAAAGGTCACACTACAGTTCAAGTCACGAGTAGACTGACTCAATGATAAAAGATTAACAGAGAAATTTGGAACATGTAAAACAAAAGATAATGGTAGAAAAGGAGTGGCATGGATTAAACCTTTCCCAGAAACAAAAAAAATAGTACCATTAGCAATCTTAACTTTGTCTGGACCTGAAGAAGGCTTATAATCCAAGAAAAGATCAGAAGACCCAAACATGTGATTAGACGCACCAGAATCAATAATCCAAGATAAAGACTTGTGAGACAGAAAAACACTTGTAGAAGAGGCTAAGTCACCTGAGTGAGCAAATGAAGAGGAGGAAGTACCGGTAGAAGTAGTAGAAGAACAACGATCTAGCAAATGCTGCAAAGCCTCCTCAAACTCAGAAAATGACATACTAGAGACATCACCACTAGGCTGAACAACAGAAGAGGAATCCTGTGAATCAATTATACTAGTATGATGGTTACATAGATGAAACCCGTGCCCTCGAGACCGTCATAAGCAGCCCCCATGACTACTAGAGTGATCACCACGACCACCAGAAGGAACCCCATGGAGCTTTCAACATGTCTCACGAGTATATCTTGGCTGGCGGCAATAATCACAGAATAGGTTATCCTTCTTAGAAGGATTGAAAGAACTACGAGATAGATTGTTTCCATCTTTTAGAGGATCAAAAACTAAGGCAAAGCA